GATCAAAAAGCCTGTATGTGCAGTGTATAATCTAGACATTTTTTATCTGAAATTGTATATACATTGTTTTTCAGTGTATCTATCTGCCTTTCAGTAAATAGAATATTCAACAGGGCAAACAATGCCATCAAATATTAAATAGAATAAATCCACATAATGAACATACCCCCATAATAAGGCAACAATAATAATTGAAGCCAGCATAAAAGTAGAAGCAATAGGAATACTATTTTGTAATGTAAACCAAGGCAGAATTTATTGAATTTTGGAGTTGTAAAGGATCCTGGAAATCAACTAAGACAATCCTGCACTTTATGCAAAGTCATCATATATCATGCAACTCCAACATCCCAGGTAGAAGCCATTCAACCTCTGTTTCATTACTTTCATTTAATGAGGTCTCAGTTGTATATGGCCTCATTTAAATACTTCCATTTGTGGAAAAAAATGTGACCACAGCTGAGATATCTGCAAGGTATGGTCAAAACAGTCAAGATGGTAGCCACAAAGGTTCAGTTGAACCTCTCCCTATAAAAATAGGCATAACTTTGAGCATACTGTTGTGGATGCCCACTTAACTTTTTTGACCATACCCTGGAGACAACTGTGGATAATATAAATTGAAGAGAAGGGAGGAACAGTTTGGTTTGGGAAAAGTAACTTCTGAGGATCTCTCACAATTCTGACCTTGTTTCCAAATTCTAAAAGCAACAATTCTTTAGCCTCCATAGATATAAACCCCACTTCCTGGACTCCTCTGAGTTAATTATTTCATGGTCATTGAGAATAAATCATAACAGTTCATCTTCAATCACTACAAGATTTGGGTGGTAGAAATGAGTCTTGCCCCAATTGTAACTTATCAAACAGAACACAATCTACTATGAAACACATTTTCTGCACTTAACCAGCTTAATTAGATAAACAAAGATTTATTGGGTCCTAAGAGGATTATCATAAATGTCTGATCACATGTGTAGCCTCAAGATATAAACTTTCAAGATTTATGGAATACACTGAAAATTAAATATCATTTTTTTTTGTTGACTGGAAGAAACTGCAGCTTAAATTTTATGGAAGCAAATAAATGTTCAACCTGATAAGCAAGGCAGAATTCAGAGTAAGATAGTTGCACTTAGATAGCATGGAAGTCTGTGTACCACTGAACCACTCTTGGGTACCACTGTAGTTAGCAGAATTCAAACATATCTAGTGCAGTTTATATCCTATTGTCAAATTCTTAAAAATAGAGGATTGCAAAACTAGCAAAGGAACATTTCTGTAGGATGGGCAACCATGAATACATAATAACAGAGTTAGAAGGGAATGGAGTTCTTCTAGTCCAACCCTCTGTTCAAATAGGACACCCTCTACTGTTCTGGACAAATAGCTGTCCAATCTCTTCTTCCAGTGATGGAAGTCTAAAACTTCCAGTGATGGAGCACCCACAACTTTTGGAGGCAAGCTGTTCCACTATTTAATTGTTCTCACTGATAGGAAAGTTGTCCTTAATTCTAGGCTGGATCTCTTTTTGTTAAGCTTCCAACTGAAAAACTTCATAAAACTTCATAAAACATCATAAAACTTGTGTTACTTATTCAATTTGGTATGCTCATGGTATGCTCTTTTGCCAATGTTTTGGAAGAAGCATAACAGCAACTGAGTAAATACCATGCCTCTTGGGACAACACATCTAATTGTACACAAACACACACACTCATAGACATACACAAACTGCTAACTTTGCAACTATGATGTCTGTCAAATTTCCTAGTCTAACAATGTCCTGAAAGAAAGGGACAATAAAAAATACTAGACCAAATTCAACTTCACCAAATACATGTGAGACCAGGGGTGAAATCCAGCAGGTTCTGACAGGTTCTGGAGAACCAGTAGTGGAAATTTTGAGCAGTTCAGAGAACTGGCAAATACCACCTCTGGCTGGCCCCAGAGTGGGGTAGGAATGAAGATTTTGCAATATCCTTCTCCCAGGAGTGGGGAGAGAATGGGGATTTTGCAGTATCCTTCCCCTGCAATTGGGTGGGAATGGAGATTTTGCAGTATCCTTCCTCTGCCACACCCACCAAGCCAGGCTCACAGAACCAGTAGTAAAAAAAATTGGATTTCACCACTGAGCGAGACACAACACAATCTGAATCTGTACTTCAGATTACAACCCTTCCAGATATTATATATTTTTACAATCATATCTGCTCCTAAAACAGCTGCTTGGGAAAAAATGAAGACGAGTACAAAATATGTAACATAAATACACATCACATTGGAAAGCATAGAAAGCTTTCCTTATTCTTACAATTTGTCTGAAGGCACACAAAAGTTTTATGATACCAAATTATGTTATCATAGCATGAACTATTTTTCTTCTGAGATTCTCCAATCTAGATTTATTTGCTCTGATTCAATTTTTCACCATGGATGTATTAGTGTTATAGTTACAAAACAAATCTTCTCTTTTCACTTGATGGAACTGCACCCAACAGCAAATACCTGTCCTTACTTATTACAAGTAGTCCTTGACTTATGGATGGAGCCTCCCCATCATGGCTGTAAGTAGTGACAATTGTAAATCAAATAGCCACATGACTGACCTGATTTTATGACCCTTTTTGGGGTGGTCATTAAATGAACACCACAGTTGTTAAGCAAACCAATGGTTGGCTATGGGTCGGTTTTGTCAACAACTGGCATTTACTTTCAGTTTTTGGCAAAAACAAAAATCAGTGAAATGTGGTCATATGACTATGAGAGGCTACAAACGTCCATAAATGAGGTTTCTGAGCGTCCGAGATGTGGTCATGTGACCATTGGGGGAGGCAGTTGTTAGAACTTCAGTACCAGACTGTTAAGTATCCCCAAAGAGGACTGTCATAACATTGAACGTTTGCTAAGTGACTGGTCGTAAGTCGAGATCTACTTGTACATATGTACAAACACACACTTGAAAAGGAATCCGTGTTACAGAAGAAGCAAACCTACTGCTGTCCTTCAGGCTATGAATGCAATATCAGAATGCTCTATTATTTCTGATGCTGTAGCAAAGTGGTCAAATTTAGATCACAGAACAGAGTGCTCTTTGAGTTAATCAAGCTGTCAGGATAATTATGGTGCAATTTTAATGATTTGTGATTTCATGGTAGGCTGCCTTTGACTGTTTAATTCTGAATGTTACTACAATACCACAAAATCCAGATTGAATTGCTCCTTTCAGCAAATGCTCAAAACACTGCAATGTACATTTCATTTCATTTATTGGATTTGTATACCGCCCTACTCCCGAAGGACTCAGGGCGGTGAACAGCCACAGAATAAAACACATAAATACAAAATTTAAAAACAGAATAAAACCGAATTAAACAATTTGGCCGAGACAAATTAAAAACACCCAATAATTTTAAAAACAAATTAAAATTTACATTTTAAAGGGGAAAGATTTAGGCCAGGCCGGCTTGATGGAATAAAACGAAATAGAACAGAATTGGCTATTTTGTTAATTCTTTTATACCTGGTAGATGACAGAAACTCCAAGTAATTGCAAGTTAGAATTCAGAGGAAAGTATATAGTACTAAAACTTTCATGTCTGTTTGTTTGTAACCTTTAATTGGGCAAAGTGGTGTATTATAGGACAAGCAATTTTTGAACCAAGATACCTCAAATAAGGTACCTTATAGAATGCATCCAAAATCCAGGATCCATTATTCCTAGGGGATTGAAATTTGCAAAACTGTGGTGGCCTCAGTGCCATATTACTTTCCTTAGAAACCCACAGTTTGCATGGGGCAAGGGAAGATGGGAAGAGTGTATACCTGCCCTGATTCCTACCTCCCTTTTGACCTTGTGCCCGATCAACTGGCAGCAAGGCCTGATGGGCAAATGGAGTTTGGCTGCTTTGGAAGTCAAGCCAAAATTTGAAATGTTTTACTGGCAGTGGATGGTGAGGGAACTTAGATTCCTGCTGCATAGGGCTGGTTGGAGGGCACTTTGGATAGAAGGGACCTAGGGAAATACGTCAGGGGACGAATACTATCAGTGGAGTTTTCCTTGTGGTCTGCAGTTCCCTTTGTTTCTCCCATACTGAGAAAAGTAGTAGGCAGTTCCCTGGGTCAACCGCTGGGACTCTGCTGAGGGTCATAGTGGGAGGGGAAACAGCACCAGCCTATTTTATTTATTTATTTTATTATTTTATTAGATTTTTAGACCGCCCTTTTCCTACTGGATTCAGGGCGGTGAACAGCCAAGAATAAAAACATTCACATACAAAATTTAAGATTAATTTTAAAAGAATTAAACAAGTTTTGGCCAGATATAAAATTTAAAACACCCCAACTAAAATCAATTTATAATTTAAAATATCTAAAAATATCTAAGTGGGGGGCGTCAAGCCAGCCCAGCTTGATGAAATAAAAAAGTTTTAAGGGCATGGCGAAAAGCACGGAGATCTGGGATCCTACGTATCTCCGGGGGCAGGTTGTTCCGAAGGACAGTTGCTGCCACAGAGAAGGCCCTCCCCCTGGGGGTCACCAGCCAACATTGCCTGGCCGACGGCACCCTGAGGAGTCCCTCTCTGTGGGAGCGTACTGGCCTGTGGGAGGCTATCGGTGGCAGAAGGCGGTCCCATAAGTACCCAGGCCCTAAGCCATGGAGCGCTTTAAAGGTGGTAACCAACACCTTGAAGCGCACCCAGAAGATCACCGGGAGCCAATGCAGCTCGCGCAGGAGAGGTGTCACATGGGAGTGCCCCATCGCTCCCATAATCCCCCGCGCGGCTGCAATCTGCACCAGTTGGAGCCTCCGGGTGCTCCTCAAGGGGAGTCCCATGTAGAGAGCATTACAGTAGTCCAGGCGAGAATGTTATATGTTGAAAGAAGGATGGCCCAATGGGTCATGGGTTGTCTAGTGATCTCTATAGGGAAGGAGGGGACATCCCTGTTAACACGTGGCAGCACTACCCTCCTCATCTGAAACCCAAGAGGTCTCTAACCTTTCTGCTGGGCTGTCTGGCTCAATGAAACGGATGAGAGGCGGCGAAGAGAGGGTTTCGGTAGCAAAGATCCCACCCTGGAGCTGCAGTCCAAAGCCGTTCAAGGGGTCTCCTCTTAAAATCACCTCTGTTGTTTCTGTATGAACAATCTGCCCACCAGGACCCACAGTGCTGGAAGCTAATGATACTGAAACAAGAGAGGGACACAACCAAGTTAGCACTTTAAGGAAACACTGGACACTTCATTTTCCAAAGAGAAACTTAGAAACCATTTTATGAGGGAGACAGACTGCTCAAGCAAACTGCCATCAATCTTAACAAAGCTCTTTGGAGAGAAGGGCTGCCCCTCAGATAAGGAGATATGCGTCCGCCTGCACCATCGCTCCTCTACCTCTCTTCATATGTAGCTAGAGGAAAGTACGACAAAAAAGTCTAGATGAGAAGGAAGAGTTCTGGTGAATGAAGGCGAATATACGTGTTCCAGGATAATGTTGCAGAATCCAAGCTGGGTCGGTCACCAGGACCAGAAGTTTTATCTTCTGAGCTTTTGGACTTGTGCTGAAGATGGGCTCCAGCACAAGTCCAGAAGCTCAGAAGACAAAACCTCTGGTCCTGATGACTGACCCAGATTGGATCTTGCAAGAGTTTCTGAGTTTGGAGGAAAATTTAAAGGGAACTAACTAGAACATATCACCATGATCGTGATAAAATGGACATATTGTCTTTTCCCTTTAATTCTTCAAAAAAGGGGAAGAATTTTGAAGACGAGCCTGAATAATCCTGCAAGAGCCCGTGATCCTTACATGAACTTTTGTGCTCCTTCTTCCTCTGTCTTCTCCTCATCAATGTGGCCCGTGGGCTCATGGGATGATTGCTTCGAGGTAGAGTATTGGAATTCTGGTAGGCCAACCCTGATGTGTTCATGGTGGGAGATGCAAAGTTGGAAGCTACAAGAGCTAGATAAAAGACAAAAGAAGCCATGTGAGTATTTGATCTGAACTCCTACTTGTTCATATCAATTGAATCCCATTCTTAATTATTAGTCAAGAAAGAAAATATGTCATTTTGTGTCCCAGTTTTACTAACATATTTATCAAGATGAGTAAATAGCTGATATTTCTTTTCCCATTCCCAGAGCATCTTACTAAATATTACTAAATTAATAATCTTCCAGCCTTGATTTTAGCATCTTTGCTGACCCACAAAAATATTTAAATTTGCCAAAATAAAAAGGACAGAACAAGAAAGAGATTTGCAAGGAATACTGAGAATGGTAAAGAAAAACTATATGCACTTTTTCCAGAAGACTTTGAGTGAGTGAGTCTTCAGAAGAAAAAGAGAGAGAAGGCTTGGCAATAGGAAAGGACAAAGCTGGTCCAGAAGAAATAATGCACTGGACAGATTGAGTATATCTCAGACAGAACTGTTTGCTGGGAATTCAGACTGTGACTCCCCAGATCAAGAAAGTAGAAACATAGGCTACATTACATTTACAATAGTCCTGGCTGGTTGTCTGATTCCAGGTAGGTGTCTTGCAATGTCCTGGATGGTGGGTGTGGCAGTAGCTGACACAAGGATCCCAGCAGTGGTGGTGTTCGCTCTTCTGCACTTTGACTTTTGCCAACAATAGACAGATAAGGTAACAAAAAGAGAATGTCAAAAATCACAGGCAACTGAAACCAATTGGTTGGCTCACCACTAACAGTATTTTTAAAACCCATTTGCACACATAAAAAACAATCATCACCTATCATGGCTGCCATTCTGCTAGCTTCACATTGCAACCTGCCAGTTGGACATTAGCAATGGGAGGAGGGAGAAGATCTGAATGTGGGAAGACAAGGGAGGAGTTTGGAAACCAAGCCGTGCCGGCCTGCTCAAAAAGTGGAATGCACCATTCAGTCCAAGGTCAACCAAAAGAATGTGGAGATGGAGAAGGTGTGAACAGAGGGTTCGTTCTCCAAACAACATGGAGACAGCTAATTGGACATTGACCAGTAACAAGGGGATGGCCAGGGTGAAAGGGAAAGTTAATTGTATCTTTTGCATGCCAAACTGGCAGATTTTGTTTCACTATTTTTGTAACCACTTTAGCTTTCAGTAAAGTATACCCTTGGTAAACAAGGATCTTTCTTTGCTAACTAAACTAAGTGGGACGGATGGCATCAACCCATGGACAATGAATACAAATGGGAAAGAAAATCCTTAAAATATCTGAGTAATTTTTTTGCTTGGCTTGATGTGGTTTGGAGAAAAATTCTTCATCAAGTATACTGAGATATTTGCACACTGGCTTATTTGTCTTCCACTTTCAATCTGACAGGACTCATTTTTCCTGCACTTTCAAAACCACAGGATCAGGGAATAATGATAGTGAAAGGGCGAGTTCAATAGCACCTTTGTGGAAATATATTTCTCTTTTGTGAACTTGCAATAAAGTTTCCTCTTGATAGTTTAAGGCACATTTCTCTTCTGTTGCTTACATAAAGTCAGGGTAAGCACCGCTGAATTAAAGAGCACATATTTCTCTTTTTTGTTTCTTATTGCAGATCAAACAGTGAACATAGCTCGTAATACTTCACGATAAATCTAGAAATTGGACAGTAGCAAATCCAGTTGCAAAGAGCTTACTCTCATTGCCCCAAGAGGTTTAATAAGTACAATGGATAGTCTATAAAAGTGGGAACAGAAGCTCCTGATATTTCCTGTAGGAATTACTTTTTTAGGTCAAAGGAGTGTAGTATAAACTACTTGTCATAGCAGCGTCCCTTGTCAGAGAGCTAGTCCTTCACAATATTGGTACTCCATAAACTGTACCTGAACATTCAATTTATAGAGAGTATCTCATCCATGAAGGATGGTTATTAGAGTGTGCAAAATTTAAAGAGCTGGAGTTAAACTCATGACTAGAAGAGACACAGCCTTTGCAAGCACCAGTTGTAAAACAAGACTGAAAAATACAACCCAGCCTGAAACATCTGCCAGAGAACCTAGTCACATTTCCTGGTTATATTCAGAACAACCTGTACAAAATCATCTTCCAAAAGTCTGCAAACATTCCCTCTAAACTAATCTCATGAAGTATTTCACTACTTCAGAAAGAATGTGTAGTGTTAAAAAATAAAAGGAATGAGAAAGTTCGTTTAAAAAAGAATTACTTGAAAATTTCCCTCCAAATTTGCTTTGCAAAAAGTTCTTTTCGTGAAGCGTTATGGATCATTGTAATACAAGCACCTAGAAAACCACTCTTTCCTCTATACATTCAAAGGTTAGAATGTTAAAAATGCTGACAAGCTTGGTTTACTAGCTCATTTAAAAAAAACCTTGTTATTTAGGAGGTACTTGAGAGGAAGACATTCTGATGGATTACAGAATGTAAATCTGTGTTTAATTACGTTTAGAGGATTATGAATTGTTATAGTCATTGTTTTATGCATTGATGCTGAATGATGATTGTTTTTATGACTAGTGTGTTGACACTATTTATATATTGCCATAGGCTATTTTAGAGTTTTAATGGCTGAAGTGGCATAGAAGCTAAACAAACAAGTACAAACGAGAAGTTTGCATCTTGATCCCAAGACCTTTTCAAATGCAGCCAATAGACTACGACTGAGGATAGGGACACAATTAAGAAAATCACAAATCTTGATATATTAATCATATTAGTGTTCATCAATTAATTACATTCACATAAATGTGCATGTGAATAGGCATACAACTATGAAACCAATAACATACGTTCTTTTTAGAAGCTGGACATATACCTTGTAACAAATACATGAAAAGTCTCATCTTTACCTCAGTGTTTATTTGAGGCACTTTTTACCCGAACCATTTTTTATTTTTTTTTACAAAATTGAACAATTAAAATGATAACTAGAATTTGATTTATTCATCAGCTTGGCCCATGACAGGAATGGCATTGGCTATTCCTTCTCTAGTGATTTACAGTGCTTTCGTAACATCACTCAGCCCATCACTGAAGTATTATAAGTCCTCTGTTCATTGCTATTATTTTGTCTCAGTGATGGTTGCTTGACTCTAGAAGACACTAATTTCCCCAAGTAGAAAATTAATCACACCAATCCACAAGAATCAATAAAAGGTCAGGTTCCTGTTTCCTCCCAGATGGTCTTAGTTTTGTTTTTTGTTTCCCCCCCCCCAAAAAAAACTGTACCTAATCTCACATTTCTGTGTAATCAGGATGGTGATGGGTATTTCTCCCCAGAAATACACATGCCCCAAAGAAACAGATGTATTTCATATGTTATGCTCATTCATGGCACATACCTGTATCCAGAGGCTTGAGGGGAAGTCTACTGTAGTGAGCAGGGAGTATCTCTAGCTTAACAGTTTCTGATGTGGCTGCTAACAGCTGGGTGGCCTCCAACAAGGAGCAATGCTCTGTGCTAGTCCCGTCAATGGAAAGGATATGATCACCTACATGCAGAGCCCCACATCTGCCAGAGAAACACACAACCACAGGCATATATTGCAGTCACCTGTGGTTAAAAGTAGAGCAATTCAAAATCCATCAAAGTCACACAAAAGTTGATGACTTTGCATCATACATATTCTTTGCCATGTTCTTTGCCCAGATTCAGCTGAAATCTTATTTTTTAAAAAGCCAGAAATCCAGCTTTGAAGTTTCCTGGTTGAAAAAACCATGAAAGAACAGAAGTTTTATCATGAAAGAACATCAGTCAAGTTAACTGAACTACAAGTAACCCTTCCCTAAAAACTAAAGAGAATATTTTCATATGGTCAAACAGAATCTGAAATGTATCTTTATCATAAGAATCTAAGGGGAAAAAAAATTACCCCGGGCTTGTACTGATTTCATTTTGTTGTTTGCCATTTGCCATCATTTCTAATAAAAGAGTTTAACCTGTTTGTGAAGACTATATTTGCGTATGACATTTGGGAGATTGTAGTATATATTTCCTTAGACAAAGGGGAAAGTAGCAACAGCTGATATAAAACTACAGGAAAATCAGTTTATTAAGGATGCTTCTTGAAGTATTTGGCCAAATTCTAGTTGAAACATGACAATGAATACAACTTCAGAAAAGCAGTGCGGCATTGCCAAATAGGTCTTGTATGGACCAAAGTTTTGCTCTTCAGCAAGTCACTGTGGAATGCATGAATGTGAAAAAGGATGTTTATTCATTTGTTGGTGATAAAATATGGAATATGATGTAAAATTATGGAATATTTTGGGTGATTGGGATACCCTGCATTGAATGTTATGTATTTTAATTATACATTTTTCTTTAAAATACATAAAAAACTCAATATCTACATGAGCAGTGTGTTGTCTGGGTACAATTAATTTTGAAAAATAATAGTAGTAATAATAATACTAATATTCATAGCAATACCCGGTATTGAATGTTAATTGGTTGTTGAATGCAATAGAGCATGTGTAGAATATAAATTGTGCATAAGGGCAAAATAAAACAAGGATGTAAACTGTGCATGACAATAGAAAGGCAAGGAGGTGTCAATTCCCCTTAGTGTATTTATAATAATAGCATAATGAATGCTCATAGTGACATTTCAGGTATTAGTTGATTACTATAGGTGCATGTAAATTTGTGTACAGATAATGACATATGGTTGGCTGAGAACATGAGAACTCTTACAGTGAATGTCAGAGACCATATGATGCAGTAAGGAATATGGATCTGAACATTTCAAATATAAAAGTAGTTGCCTGAAAGGGAAAACTGAGTGAATAACTGCAAATTGCATACGAATAATTACAACAACAACAAAAAAGCAAAGGGTTGGATCTGATGCTTCAGGAGGATATTGAAGCAAAAGGAAAAATGGATAGAAAAATGTAGAAAATGTTGGTAGAAAATGAATGAATAGCAGGCTTGTTGCAGAGAGAGAATCTTTGTTGAAAGACAAAACACAAATGGCTTTAAATAGGAGTATGCATTAACCCATTTGTTATATGAAAATAAGAGCTATCAGGAGAAACAGAACAAATGGGGACAGAGAGATTCATTTATGAAGCATGTTTAACAAAAGATAACGTCAAAAATTGAAGGTTGAGAAATGAATTGAGTACAAATGGAATGATAAATACAAAATAAATATGTCATGATTGGTTATATAGACAGAATGAATGCCATCTAAATTGTAAAATACTTTTATGAAATAATGAGTAGGTCAAAAGGAAGGGGAAAATAAAGGATGCCTGTGGTTGGATGAAGTAGATGACATCCTGAGAAAAATAAAAATGATAGTTTAAAGAACAAAGAGCAATATATAAAGCCCTGCATAACATGCCGAGAACAAGAATGGTTTGCAATACTAGAAAAGGAGGAACAATGAAATGTAAACAAGATTTAGCAATTTTTTCTTGACTTATCTAATTCCTTCAGTTTCATTGATTTTATATTTCTTATTGTTTTTTGTTTTTTGTTTTTTTTGCAGTAACATGTCTTGCCATAAAAGGCATGCAGTTACCTTTCGATGCAATAGATATGATTTTGGAAAGCTAATTAATCTTGTAAGTGTTCATATTAAAAAGTCCAACATCATTTTACGAGTTTAACAGGGTTAATTTATTTCTGATAAGCCAACTTTAGTTAACATTGAACAACAGATATACTTCATTTCCAATAATATTATCAGGGGTTTTCTTTTCTTTTAGATGTTTCACAGTACTTATAAGGATGGTTTCCACTCTTGAAAATAGTTTGAAATATTTGGTATGGAAGGAATAGCCTTCCCTCAGATGTGCCCAATATAAATTTAGTTCCTTAAAGCACAGCATTATAATCCTGAGGTTTTTACCAATACAGACATGAAAGCCAGCTGGGAGACTTTGGGCCAGTCGCTCTCTCTCAGCCCAATCTACTTCACAGGGTTGTTGTTATGGGGAAAATAGGAGGCAGGAGCATTAACTATACACATCACTTTGAATCAACCAAAAATAAAGATAGGGTAGAAATCAAACACACAAAGTTTTTCCCTTATGTAAGAAATGTAGTTTGTGCAGTGTAGCACGTATACAGTGCTGTTTTTTCTCAAGCTTCCCCAGATCTCACCAGAGGAAAAACATTTTAAATGTAATAAATATTAAACCAAGCATATCTGGGAGAACATTTAATCACAGTTCAGCCTCCTACCTGTCTCCCACACTAGCTGGCTTGATCTTTTCAATGATTATGACCTGTTTATTCCGATGGGTGTTCATTGATAATGTGATTCCTAGGGCAGAGCCGGGAGCCTTTGCAATTTCCACTAGCAAAGGGCCTGACGCATTGGCTACCATATCTATAAATCAAAAAAGACATTTGGAATTAATTCTGCTTAGCTTTTCCCAATAGGAACATCAAATGCGTTAGGTGGGAATACCAGCAGTATTTATGATATGCTGGGCATATATGGTCACATAGGAATCCGGATATTATGTAGAACATAATACTACACAACATATACGTAACATATATTAAAATTCAGAAATTCAGGACAAACTATAAAGCAAGCATGCTTGTAAAATCAACCTCTAAAATCTCTATGTTTGCAAATGTCCCTTCTCAGCTACTGCTTAATGATCTCAATGATCAACAAAATGATAGACAGATCATAATAGGCAGCCCAAGACAGCAACTGGACTAGGTTTTTTTTTAATTGTTATAATTAATAATTAACAGTACACATTATACAGGACCAAGGATTAGCTCCAGGGTCAAAACCAGAACTTTATTTCATTGCAAAATCTGATGTCTGAAGGATTATTGTCCCATCTTGGTGAGGGACCATTTTCTAATAAGGAGTATCTAATGGGGTGCTTTGTGACATTTTTGCAGACATTCTGGCATCTCGGGAGAAAGGTGTATCCTACCTAATATCCATGCAAAGTATTCAAAGTTATTTATGTCTATTCAAGGGCTAAAATAGAACATACAAATAGAAGGCAAAGTCCACCCAGTGTGTGAAGGTTTGTTGTTCAGTTACTAAGTCTTGTCCAACTCTTTGCAACCCATGGACCACAGTACACCAGCCCCTCCCCCCATCCTCCACTGTCTCCCTGAATCTACCCAAACTCATACTCACTGTGTCTATGAAACTATCTAACCATCTCACTTCTCACCCTCTGCTGTCCCCTTCTCCTTTTGCCTTCAGTTTTCTCCAATATCAGGGTCAATGAGTCCTTTCTTCTCATTTGGTGGCCAAAATATTCAGTATCTGTCCTTCCAAAGGACAGTCAGAGTTGATTTCTTCTAGGACATGTGAACTAGATTTGGGTAATTTCATTTCAGTGTATAATTATGACATGTCCTATTTGGCATCTCCCTTGACATGATCTGGTATTTTGCTTTTCTAAAAACTAAATGTTTAGTTTGACTAAAATTGCTTACTATTTGCCTTTAGGAAAAATAATAAAAAGCTTTGTTTGGTAAAAACTGTACTCCATACTGGATTCTTTACTAAATACTGGATCCTGTCAAGAAATGCTTATACCTTGAAGCATATATCCCCACTACTTCACATATCTTAAAGGAACCTGAGAAAGTGAGAACATAATTTGTACTATTGAGATTGTATTCTGTAAGCTATGTTACACATACACACAAATGTTTCTCACAATTTTTTAAGATCTAATAGTACATCCCAAACATTTAAATTATGACTGGAGCATATCCCATTTAGACAGACTTTAAGCAAATATAAACACAGTTTACTAAATTTTGTTAAATATCTGGAGAGAAAAACACACCAAACTTTCACAAAATGTATACATGTACCTAAATCTAGACCAACTAGATGTTCAGAATTAACAAAAATTATCTTACTTAGATATATGGATTAATTGCAAAGAGCATGCAGTGGATTTAATTGGTGGACAAAACATTTAACTGTATTTTAAACATGTACCTCTATTTTAGGACAATTAACCTTTAGGACAATTAACAGAGGTTAATGGTAACCTCTGTTACCATTAGATAACAGAAAGGAATGGAAGTGTTTACAATTTAAGAAACCCTACCCATCCAAATGATAAACTAGACTCAATCATCTGACTATTAATAATGGAATTAACTACATTACAGTAGTTACATTACAGTAAATGAGATCTATGTGGTTCTTTGCCACGTAGATCTCATATGTTTTATGCAGGACATAAAGCATATGAGATCTACATATAGATATGCATTTGTCCTGCATATAGCATCTCATATGCTATATGCAGGACAACATTTCTAGAACAACTGGATCTGGTTTTTAAAAATCAAAGTCTTCACTTATTTTGACTACATTGCAACACATGCTACAAAAAGGTAATCAATAAATATAAATCTATAATGTTCCCATGCTCACTGGAGAATTGTTCACCTCTGAAAATAGCGCTAATTTCTGCGGTTTAATCTTTATATGGTCAACCTCTATTTTTGACTATCCAGATACTCGTATTTTTCAAAATCATTTTTTTAAGTTAAAATGATCATTTTAAAACTATGACTTATACACCTTGCTCACCTGAGGCTGTAATATATCCAAGCAATATACACTTAAAAATTAAAAGATTAATGACCTGGCATTTATTAGTTGTCCAGTATCTTTCATCAATATAGCAAATATATTCAGTGATAAGGAGCTGCTTTTAGAGAGAGAAAAGGAACATTCTTCATACAGCAAATACCGATCTGATCTCCAACAAGGTAGAAGAAACATTCAGAGAGAGATAGAGTTTATGATTAGCAATAGCATTAGACTTGTACACCACTACATAGTGCTTTATAGTGCTCTCTAAGCGCTACATAGTGCTTTATAGCACTTTCTACAGAGTCAGCATATTACTCCCAACAAGCTGGGTCCTCATTTTACCACGACCTCGTAAGGATGGAAGGCTGAATCAACCTTGGGCCAGTGAGATTTGAACTGCCAGCAGTCAGCAGAAGTAGCCTGCATTCTAACCACTGTGCCACCATGGCTCATGTAACTGCTATTACAATTGCTGTTAACATTGATAGTGGCAAGTCAGCCAGATGTTTACACTGAGCTTGGCATTTTTGCCTGCCTATCAAGCCCTTGCAAAGAATCCAAGATAGGGAAATGTTCTTGTTTGATGATGTTAAAGGTTGCTCCATTTCTATTTGCAGGTCTTTGTATTTTGTAATTCTCTCCATTGTAATTCTCTCTTTTATTCTGCTATCTCTAGGTACTGCCACATCCACTATCCAGACTTTTTTCCCCTGCTTTCTTAACAACTGTTAATTCTGGAGTGTTAAGTGGCAGATATTAGTCTGAACTGTAAAGTTCCAAAATACTTTAGTTTCTACATTTTCAATTACTTGTGGTCTCACTAATTTTTGCTTGCAGGCAAATGGTATTTTGCAGATATTCCAAAGCACCTTTGTTGCTACTTTGTTTGCCATTGTTTGTGATCAGTCTGTGTGAACTTCTTGCAGCAGCTAACTACCAGTAGATGTTCCACTATTTTTTCAGCTTCTGTGCAGAGGCAAATGCATTAGTTACAACTATTCATGGATTCCAACATTCCCTTTTTGCAATGATTTGCTATTTTGTGATATTACTTTTGCCTTGCTCTTAGCTGTTTGAATGAAGCCTATTAAAGAAAAACACAAGGCACACGCATTTCTCCCAACCATCTTCATCCCAACCCCACAGGGACAAGATTGCTTAACATCTACCACTTATATGTTAGAAAACAAATGCAGCAGAGTTTTCTGCTTGTCAAAAAGTCTCATTCTTCAACATACGATATTTATCTGTTAGGTGCCAAATGCAAAACATGCCCACACGGAAGCTTCTTTTTAAAAACCGTAGCTCACATAGAAAAGCTCAAATGAGAAATGTAAAAACTGTTGATTCTACAAAGGGATAGGGAAACCTAGGAAACAGACTTCAAAGTCATCAGACATTTTCGTTTCTCCCAGCCAAGACAGACGCCCGTCTGCTTGGAAACATGCACAATAGCAACTCTGCCAAGAGCTGAGAAGAATCCAAGTTATCACATATTGCTGACATCAGGAAAAGCTTCGTCTACACCTGATAGGCCTTTCCCAATACTATGATCTCCTTTCATTTCATCAAAAAGCAAAAACTGCACACCTCTTTTGATCTATTCCATTTTAGGAGCTATTCTAATATTCTGCCGATTAAGTATTGGCAACAAGCTTCGTGAGCAACTTCTTTCCTTTCTCACAAAATCAGAAAGTTTTGCTTCTAATTTTAAACTAAACTGTTTAATGTGAAATGTGGACTGTGATGTATACTCTCTTCACTAACTAGAAAGTAAAGAGCAGCTTGTACTATTGGCGGATAGTAATGACCCAAGGAAAAGGAATGGGACTGTGTGTACCAAAACATATTATAGCTTATTCCTATAGTAAGAAACATGATTTATTTTGGTGTTCAAGTGAAGGTTGGCTCTGCAGCTTTTGGAAAGTGGATTCTGACCTTTAAGAAGAGATAGCTCTGATGCAGAAGGTGATGGAGTTGGCCGAAATGGCAAAACTGACCACTTTGATTAAAGAAAAGAATATAAGTACTTTTGTTTCCATATGGAGACCACTTCTGAACTTCATGCTTGATGTGGAGAAGAATAAAATTCTGACTTTGGGTTTTACTGATTAGACTGATAGATTTTTATAGAAATGGCTTGTTCATATTATTATGAAAAAGCAAAAAGCTGTGATTTGATGTTAATGCCTTATTTTACTGTGACAGAGAGAGTCGGAAGTCAATGCTTCTTTTTCTTTTTTATCTTTCCCCACTTCTCTTCCCCCCCGCCCCCGGTACTGCTTTTCTATTTCCTTTGTATGTTGTATTTTATAATACTCTATAACTCAATAAAAATGTTAATGGAGGAAGAAGAGATAGCTCTGATATGGCTTAAATTCAGTTCTACAAATGCAGAATTAACCCAGTAAACCAACATCTGTTTGAAATAAGTATTTAAAAACAAACAAACAAATGCAAAACAAAACATCTTGAATTTGTATTTTAGGATTGAGAAAAAGGTGAAATGGAGGTATTATTTAGCATGAAAAGGTTCCCATAGATACACCAGCAGCAATGAGGCCGTGAAAAGTGGCAAATTCTAAAAGTATCGTATTTTTCTCGGTGGCGCATTCTGACACCAGCAGTACATAAAGAAAGTAAAAATTTCTTGGCAACACAACATGCCATTGATCAGCACAAAGTAGAGCACATTTTAGCATGGTTCTTATTGACCCACTTTAGCCAACTGATTGTGGATCCAAGAAGTGGCCCAATTAAAATGTGGCACCGTTGTAACCACCCGG